TCTCTGAGATTTTTGACAGAGACCAAAGGGTCCTAACAAGGGCACTGGTTTATCTAGCAATGCACAGGCTCATATGATTGATAGGCCTCCAGTAGTTTCAGAAATATTTGAGTTAAATCATTTTGCTTTTGACTCAGATCTGTTTCAAGCTGGATCGCCAATTGTGCTTTTGGAAATCGATTATAGCACAGTCTGTCTCCCTTTATTGTACAGTGCCATGATACATTCCACTTCAACTAAAGCACAGAAGGACATTTCAGAAGGGTTTTTAAAACATTTCAGTTAATTACCCTTTACAGATATTATTATTTTTGTTATAAAACTTTCTTTTTTTAAGTGTCATGAAAAGGCCATTTCTTTCAGCCATTTCACTCATATTAGCACTGCAATAATGTCAGAATAACATGAGCCACAATCAACAGTCGCATTAACTAATTCCATATATTCACACAGTAGCAATTCAGCAATATTTTAGAGAGATTTCCAAATTGATACATGCATTTTTTAGTGCTCATGATTTTTAGTGCCATTCTTTTAAAGTATTACTCTTGTTATCTTCCAAATAGTCATCAAGCATTCTGCCTCTAAAGCTATGAAATCGCCTGTTGCTGATGTTAATTACCTGCTAGAGAAGCAGTTGGTACTTAAATGGTATGTTTTGAACAAATTAGTTATTTTAGCCTTTTTGTGATGATCGGGAGGTCAGATTCAATCATGTACATAATTGTTTTACTAATTGAGATGTTGATATGTCAGTTTCAGAGCCGAGGTGTGGACAGGGTAGGAATGAGGGTTTGGGATTTCTTGGGCCATTAAACGCTGCCACGCGTCATCCCTAAACTGTAGGTTTTGTTGTTGACAGATGATTTAATTGTCCTCCCGTATCTGATGGTGGATGAGTGCAGTTGACAGAGCATAACGAGCTCCAGAGACCCCAGAATGTTAACGATTCCTGCCTTGGCTAGAGAGAGGTTTGCACAAGTTGAGTGTGATGCAAGACGCTTCTTTCAGAGCCTTTCTTTAACCACAAATGTGCCTTATTGAATAGGATAATACATATATATTGTTTCTAAATTATTCTATCGGTAACCTAGGTGATTATGATGACGATAGTGCTATAGACACAGCAATGTATTTGGACTTGTGATATTATGTGTGCTGTCTCAAATGCTAGATGCCCTGCTGCAGCCATGTGTGTGCCAATAGGCTGAAGACATTTCAGTATGATTTATTTTATGGTTGCAGTTTCGATGTGTGCATTTCCTTTGGGTGTCTGTGGCGTGTGCTTAGTAGGATTTTGGTGGCTAAAGCAAATCTCCAAAATGAATAAATGTAAAATAATGTGGCTGATGTGATTTGGGTTTCCCTTGAAAATGTCTGGCATTTCTAAATTAATCTGAAATCAAAAGGGTGTCCTTATGTAGATCGAATATAGCGCAAAATTGTTCCAACCGGTGTACATTTTTTTGCCCTGTGTTTCTAAGCTGTTCCACAGTGTGTACGATAAATGACTATCTATACTCGACAAATGACTTTTCTTACTGCTGTGCAGTTCTTTTTTTGTATTTCTTGTTTCCTATACCATATAAATCTTTGTAAAACATGTTGAAATACTGTATTCTAACTGTATAATCCTATGCATTGAGTCCTGGGACAAAAAAAACAAAAGAGAAAAAAAGTTGTTCGTGCAGTTGTCGAGACTTTTTCCCATTTTGAATCTTGTGAATGTGCTGTAATGATTAAAGAAACTGGGACACTCCATTTTCAGTGCAGGACCATTAATGGAAGCCACAATTTCCTTTCCATCCAAGGCAGCTCAGAAGATTCTCGAAACTTGTACCTGATCTTGTTGTACTGGATGATCTTAATTTTACAAAGGTTGTGTGTGGACGGAGCAGTTACCCACATATTTCATCATACACTCCTCCGTGAATAAACTCATAGACATATACGCCCTTCATATCTGCTGTGTTTCTTTCTCTTTTACAATATTGATTTGCTTCAATTGAACACTCACCTCTCATGAATATTGCATGAGTTACTATCACCTTGGGTGATGGAATAACACTTGCCACTGGTAGCCAGTTTCTTCTTAAAGTCAAATAAATCCTTGCTGTAAGTCTTTGGTGTTCATGCAGCTCTTTACATGCCCCTAAGTTTCACAGAGGAGCTTTAGCAGTAATCGGTGGGTTCATGAAAATGATCTCTGATCAAACCAACCAATCACTTTGCAAAATAGAGGGCCCAGTGCTTGAACATGGCAGTTTTTCTGAGGTTTTTCGTGCATATTATGACCCTAAACTACTGTGTTGGTAGCATCAGTGCAGCACACCATATGACAATGATGGCTGTCGCCTTTTTCCCCAAATGCCACATCAGGTTCCTGTCAATCTGCTCAGAATACAGACTAGAAGCAAAGGTCTGGCTTCATGAAATGAGTTGATATTGTAAATAGCCGCACGGCATCTCTGTCATCGGCAGTGAAGGTTCAAAAATTGCTGCGAAAACATTAATTAAGTACTGACAGCTAAAAATGAAATTGGAGAAAAGAAAGATGAAAGGCAAAATTGCCTCATCTTACTGCTTAACAAACCCTGACGCAGGGGTGGGGGATATCAAAGACCGACCAGAGGCCTGCGCAGGCCATCCTCTTAACTGAGCAGATCATTGATGCAGCAATTGATAGAAAAACTTCAAGGGCCGCTGCCAAGGCAAGAGTGATTACTTATCGCAAGCATGCATTTTATACACTATATCCTTGATCACTGCTGGAAAATCAAAGGCAATACTGTACTTATTTATATCAAGACATGCAGCTTACATGATTTTTGGAGTCAACATTTAGCATGCAGTGCACTAGTGATACGATTTATAAACAACCATGCCCTTGAATGTCTAGCAATCAATGATACAGCACAGTGACAAATAACAGTTTTACGTCCATGCAGGGTTTCTGACAAGAAACTGGGTTAAAATCTGCATTCTGCTGGCTTCTGTTCTTCTGCCCAAGATGCTACACACACACAGCAGCCAGCCTCTCCTTCAGCAGGAGATGGTTGTGTTTACCAGCAGGATGCATTTCACATCCACGTTTCAAACCTTCTAATGAGATTTGGCTTTGATTTCCACCGCCTTAGGGGAAGAGGAGGAGGAGGAGGAGGATGATGAAGAACAGTTGGTGAAAATAAAAACAATGATGCTGTGGTGTCATTTTAAACAGTTGTTCTGATGAATAATTTAAAACCTCACAACTGATTATAGGGCTTGCTAAGCTCTGTAATAACCCTAGAGCAAATCAAAATAACTTACAAGGTTAGCTTGCATTTTTAACAGACCGTGAACTACATGATTTGAGAGTGTTTAGAATTGTAAGTAATTCAAACCAAAGCAGCCAACGCTATTTCAGCAGACATTAAATCAGCTAAAGTATCTCTATTAACAGCTGAGTTTAATGGGCCGAGAAGAAAGAGAGTAGGAAGACTTATCAAACTAAAACGGTTCTCTGGGAGGTGTAGAGTTACAAGCCACAGAACAGAAGCCTAACTATTTAGATGATAAAATATCCTGTCAATATTGTTTTAAAAGTTGTGCTTTGGGAGACAACATACTAAGTAACTACAGTAAATAAGTAACTTGAAGTACAATTCATATAAAATGTTTTCCATAACTTACATTCTTAAGTTTCCAGCTCTCTTTTTCATAGAGACCTGTGCAGATCAGTAAGCACAGTAAGACTCATAAATGTAACACATTTCTAGCACACACATAATATATTGGTTCCACATTAAAAACTCAAATAGGCTACAGGTGGCATAAAGCTTGAGTGTACGTAATACATAAATATATATATATATATATATATATTAGATTCAACTTTATTGTCATTGTGCAAAATATAGTACAAGCCAATGAAATGCAGTTAGTATCCAACCAGAAATGCAAGATGTGCTAAATATAAATAAATACAAAGTGCATATTGTAAAAACTGACAATACAGGGAGCATTGAATGATCTACAATATACAGTCAGATATAAGTATTGACAGAGTATTAACAGAGTGCGAGTGCAGAGTGTATGTACAAACAGTAATATTGTAAAAAAAAAAAAAAATGGTTATATGTACAGTAACATGATTGTGCAAATAACATGTCCATTAAGTAGGCTACGTTTAATCAGTGCAGGTGAGTGCAATGATGCTTGTGAGTAATGGAGAGGAGTTCAACAGAGTCACAACCTCGGGGAAGAAGCTCTTCCTGTGCCTGGAGGTTATATATAAATACATAAGTGTGTTTGTAGCTGTTCATGTCTGAAGATAATTATATTGAAGTACTAACTACCTAACTATCCAGACATTGATAATTAACAATACAGTATGAGGTATTCAAATACTGTATCGGATACAGTGTATCCTATATTAAAATAGGACATGTATTTAGTAAAAGGTGAAATTATGTATCTTAACTTGTGTGAATCTTATATGTATAGGCTATGGTGTGACGACCACATGGGTGCATAAAGATAATTTAGACGAGAGACAGTTTAGAAAAGTTATCCATCTCTGCTCAAACGAAAGAGGTTTTTACGAGTTTTCTAAATCTCGCGCTGTTTCTCAATGTTGAAAGTTGCTGCATTTAAGACCATGAAGCGACAATGCAATATATGTGAACCGAGTGAATGAGTTCCATACCCGTTGGTTGTTTTTCTTAATGTTTTATGAATTACAGTTTATACACATAATAATTAATAGAGGGATACATGTAATCATTTTATTTCCCTCCAAAATGAGCTAAACTTCGCAGTTCATGTTTAGGGTTCTGTGGATATCAAACCGAAGGCTGTTTTTCCGGGACCCCCTGAATGCAGCAAAGCATGTCCTATGATTGACAAACAACACTGACCAATCAGCGCAGGTTCTTCAACATCCTTACCCAATCACCGAAGTCTAAGAATCATACTGTCCAATCACATTTGAAGGGGCAGATTCTAATTTGGCACCGCGGTAGGGAGTTGATGCTGGAAGATGAATGAAGCAACTAGCTAGTGACAACAACATTACAGCATATTTAGTGGCGCTAATATGCTGTAAAAAGAAACCCCAGACAAATAAAGACGTTCCGGGGCACCTTCTGGGTTCCGCATGCTTGGCATACAAGCTAAGAAGAAAAATACAGTTCATCCGTGGGGTTTGCTAATAACAAACGCTAGCATGTGCTGGAAGGATGTATGATTGAAACTGTCAAAAATCAACTAAAAACATCATCTCGATAGGGTAAATAATCACGATTAGCATTGTTTTAACTCTGAATTGAAAAGGTCTGGCTATTTCAATATGCAGTTTGATATACAGAGGTTACTGATAGCTAACTTAGCTAGCTTGTTACCGTTAGCTAGTGCAATTCATCTAACTTATATCTAACGTTACTGTGTATTTAAGTTTATTTAGATTTTCCGATGAGATATTACAGCAGCAGTAGTCAGACTATACTGTTGACATCTTGTGTAATAAACCTATAATGTGCAATATATACACTTTGTTTTGGCAATACTACTGTGCGATAATCATCATATTTTTGATGTGCAAAACATAATTTGTTATATTATATGTTCGCTTAGCTATTTAATGCTGCTAGTCATTTGTAGCCATGGATGTGTACTAATTTGTCTTTATTTAATGTATCACTTATGTGTGCTTTCCCTCTATATTTAACAAGTTAGCTCACTCTTTATTATTGCTTGCCTGTTTTACCTGCTATGTCACTATTCCCGTAACACTGTCAATGTCCCCGCTTTTGGACTAATAAAGGAATTTTGATTCTATTACTCTGGTTATTGTGCTCTGTGAATTCCAGTTCTTAAAACTATACCAAATAACCAGATTTTGTTCCACTCACACAGGCTGAGGTAGCACTGCCACCATGTACTCCAGCCCCAACAACTGCATGAAGTCCAACAGCAGCAGCAGCATCACTGAGCTGCTGGGGGCCCTGTGTGACAGCAGCCTGTCTGGGGTGTCATGGAAACGCCGGGCCCTCGGTGGAGTCTCACGGGACGGTTTCCGCCGAGCTCTGAAGAAGTGTGCCTACGGCGCCCTGCTGTCCAAGCTATTTCAGGATGACACCAAAGGGTCTGCCTCAGGAGCCCCGAGCGCCACAGCCAATACACCGGCCAAAAACAAAATCCTCATGATAAGTTTTGACTTGCGGGTAGCAGGGTGCCGAGAGGAAGCGGAAAGGTTGGAAGAGAAACTGGGGATGCTGATGGAGGGAGAATCCTCTGGACTGAAGGAAGTAGACGCAGTCCTTGAGCTCTTGGTACATCTTGCTGGGTCTGCACCTCCACCTCCTACCTCTTTCAGTAGAGACTACATGAGACGGGAGAGGCCCGTGCTGCGGAGGCCCCCCCCCTGGAGCTACCAGAGCGAGGAGCTGCAGAGGCTCGAGGCCCGGTCGTGGGGTCTAGTGTGTGGAGAGGAATGGAGGAATTTGGAGAGTTTGTGTGGAAATCAGAGGTTGATGGATGCTCCTCCAGGCACAGGACTGCTGGCTCTGAGAACTAAATTAGAAGTGGAAGAAAGATTTGAGAGGGAGACCAGGATGACACTGTTTGGAGCGCTGCAGCACACTCGCACCTCAGACATTGACATAAGACTAGACCTCCCTCCTGTTCCCAGTAATATTGATGTTACTGGACTGGCTTTAAAGGTACAACACTACTTCTTATTTAAGCTAATCCATGCTCTTTAATTTGAGTTTTAGGTAGGGTCACTTCAGGTTCACTTAACATTCCAGTGACCTTATGTTTACACTAGTGTTTGATTTATGATCAAACCCCAGTGTAATGTTATCGTGTCGTTGGGATTTATTGTTCTTTGTTGCAGATCCCCTCATGTTTAGATCAGTCTGAGGATGAGGGCTTCCAGTCAGCTTCCAACATGACCCCAGACTCTCAGTCAGAGACCAGCCCCGTTCCAGATGTTGATATATGGGAGGCTCTCCGCACGTTCGAGCCTGGGAGACGCCGCTGCTGGGAGTCTGTTGGCTGGTATGTGATACATAAAGTGCAGTGTTTCAAGTTTGATTTAAAGCATACAAACTTTTCACTATTATCTAGATTTGAAACAGTTAAAGAACACATGTTTTCAATGAAGTAGGGACTAAAACTTAGAATTATTGCTATTTGTATTCATTAATAGTTCATTCATTTTTTATTAAATGATCTATCATCTACTCAAAAAAATATATATATTAGAAAATGGTTAATACCCTTTACATGATCTGGAGGGATGTAATTTATGTATTTGTATGTCAGACCTTCGAAAGATATGTAATTTACAACCATCTTAAACTGAGATAAGCAGTTTTAAAAAAAAAGATTCAACACTTTCTGCTTGATAAATGACTTGTGATCAAGGAATTTGACGTGTGGATAATTAGTTGTTGATTGACTTAATTATGGTATCCAACGTTACACACAAAGAGAGTTTACAAAGTAGCAGATGGAGTATAGTCTACAAAGTTAACACTGTTTTAGAGTTTCACATATTGTTCCTTGTGTTTTTTCGACTAGCCCACCGGGGAAAAGAGAGTCCCTTTATCTGACAGAGGGAGGCAGGGAGTCCTTTGACCAGCTCTATCGTCTGTGGGAGGGGGAGATGAGGGTGGTCAGCACGGCGACCCCCTCTCCTCTCCTCCCTCTGCCCCTGGACACTCAGGCCCAGCTGGTGTTCGACCTCCTCAACGTCTTGATCGGAGTGGCCTCCATTACCTTCCCTCTCAACCAGGTGCATTTCATCACCCTTATTTATCAGTCCCTTAAACGCAGTAAAATGCAGTTGTTTTGTTGTTTTAGGGGTCTGTCAGACTGAGGTGATAAAAGTAAATATAGTGATAAAAGCATCGTGACAGCATGCAATTACCCAAAAACTCACAAAGAAGAGAAACTGGGAGCCGAATCAATGGACCATCTGTGCATGTGTGACATAAATAAACCCAATTGACTGCTCAAAAGCTAGCATACAAAACAACTACAAAAAGAAATAACGTGACAGTTTCAAGCACAGTTAGTCGCCTGACTACATTAAATGATGAGGAAATAAATGAAAATACTCCTAATTCCAAAAAAACAAAACCACAGGAGTGCTCTTTTGTTGCTTTATTGTTTCACATTAACTTTTTTATATCTCCAGAAGATTATAGTTATTTACTACATAAATTGAATCCTTCTTCTTTTCTTTTTTTTAACTCCCTTAGCCCCTTGTGTACTCGCTGCCTAGCAGACTTCCTCATTAACACGCAGGCTGCTAGAAGAGGTGCACACTAACAGGAACACCTCTACAATTTAATACAATAGTCTTGCATCAGATGCTACTCCAGCAAGGTTTTATAACCATATCATGTCGAGACTGTCAGAGAGATGTTTATTAAACTCGAAGGTAATCTTTGAGGCTGTGGTTTGTGGTAGTGTTTTGCTAGATTGGAAAATATTGTCTGGTATTTCTGTCCCCCCTGAAGGGTCCTGTCTGTATCCAGTTCTCATAAAAAAATATGGGAAGGACAACATAACAAACACCTGATTATGTATTGCGGTCTAATATAATAGCACAGCAAACCATGCCTTCCGAAATCATCATGGAGGTGTCTCGCTGACAACCTCAAAAACAATTCAATATTATAAGCTGCACAAAGGCAGTCTTTGCTGCAGGGCGATTTTATTAGATCTAATTAGATGGTTATTCATTGTACTTTTCCGCCATCTATAAAAATGCAATGTCCTCCACAGAGTGTTCAGTTTGACGTCAGACCGGGTGTGTGTGTGTCCGGAGCGTCTCCAGAGAGTGTGTCTCGTCTCTTGGGGGAGCTGGCCCACTACGGCACCCACTACCTGAGGCTAAGTCGCTTTTCTCTGCAGTGTGCTGACAAAAAAGGCCTTGTCTTTCAGGTATGTTTGTGTAAGCGTTATAAATACTGTTTGGCCTGCTCGTTCTACCCTTCCTTTTTCTACCCTTACTCTGCATGAGACTATTGTTGTAAGCACTGTTGGGAACTTCAATTTAGTTATTTATAATGTTTCATTAAAGGATGATTTGAGTAATAAATGAGACAAATATGTCAACAATTCATCCACACAAACAATCTAAAAACACAACTTTGATAAAAGTCCATTTATCACTCTATACTTAAAGGGGACCTATCATGCAAAATGCACTTGTGTACGTCTTTTATACATGAATATGTGTCCCCGGTGTGTCAGAGAACTCACCAAGTGTCAGAAAACAAAACCCTCTCTCTTTTACTCCATACCCAAATCTCTAAAAACGGGGCTGCAACGGATCTGATACAGATTTGAATTTTTCTGATGTCAGAAAAGGGGTGCTCCGCCTATATGGGCAACTCTCCACCTACCAGGGGAATGAGAGACCGCTCGAAAGCGCTGGAGACGCTGTAGTACATATGCCAGGCCTGTAAGTGGCGCTGTAGTCTGCCACAAAAGCAGCATTCCCGTGCATGGTTGCCATAGTTGCCCTTCTGTTTATTCTCCGCTGTGGACGCTGTGTCTTTTTTTCTCCCTCCCCGAGGCAAGCGTTTGCTCCTGCTGTAATTCTCTCCAGTTTGCCACCAGCAGATGACAAACACCCACCTCTCCGCCTCTTCCAAGGAACGAGGGGACCGTGCGGCAGAGTTTCAGTTAGATTTTTTTCCCCCCATCAACATGTCCATTAAAGTTGAAATCTTCCGGACAAAATTAGAAAAGTGCTGGTCAAAGGTCTTCTTTGTAATTTATTGAGCTTTAAAACAAATGAATAATGACTCTATATAATCATATAAGAATAAAACACGGAGGACGGAGCCTCTCTTTTCCTCCCCCTCTTCTGAGAGCCCAGCAGCTGATCTCCCTCTCCTGCAGGGGGGCGTGGTCAGCTGCAGCTCATTTGCATTAAAGTCACAGAATCAGCCCTTGCAAAAACAGGGCTGGAAAAGAGCAAATAGAGCGAAATGAGGCATGGCTAAAATGCATGATCTGTTTGGTATTTTGAAGAAAAAAAATTCACAGACATGTTTTATATAGGTATGGCCCTACAATATATTATACAAATATAGCATGATAGGTCCACTTTAAGATAAAGTGATACATTCCACTGTTACACCTTCAATTATGAAATCAATGAAAGAACATTGTGTTTCTCTCCAAGGCTTTTACAGGTGGTCTGCGGAAGTATCTGCATTACTACAGGGCTTGTGTTCTCAGCACTCCCCCCACCCTTAGCCTGTTGACTATTAGCTTCCTGTTCCGCAAGGTGGGCCGCCAACTAAGGTGAGGTTAAACCTTTTTTTTAATTGCCTTTCGGGGTTAATTACACACTTTTGAACCTCAACCTCATGTCCTAGAGGACCTTGATGCAAAATATCATTAATTCAAAAACCTTTGCTTTCTTTTAATCTCAGGTATTTGTCAGAGCTGTGCTGTGTGGACGGACCTTTAGGTGCAGGCCAGGCTACCTTCCCCGTGGTGAGCGCTCTTTTATCTGCTAACTGCAATATGTCATCCATCACGGCGGTGTTCAGCCTATCAGATGGAATGTCAGCTCAGTGCCATGTGTTTCTCCTCAGGGGGTTAAACTGATGTCCTACCTGTACAACGAGGCACAAAATAACTGCAGCAACGAGAACTACCCGGTGCTGCTGTCGCTGCTGAAGAGCAGCTGTGAGCCGTACACACGGTCAGTCGCGGCGCTGCACATTCAAACAAGTTTATATAAAGGGACCCTATTATGCTTTTTGGGGTGAGGGTGCTATATAGGTTTTTGTGCATGTAAATGGTGTGCAAAGTTAACGCCAGATGGTGTTTCTCCCACACACTCCCCCCTGCCTGAAACTGTTTGATTGGACGTTCTATGTTTCTTTCATAACATAGTGACATCACTATGTAACACTTGCACTTCTATTGACTAGCACTCCAACGGGATAGGCTAAGGGGTGGGACAGCTGTAGGCAGTTGACAAATCACAGCAGAGCCGGCCAGCCAACCAATCAGAGCAGACTGGGCTCTGGTTTCAGACAGAGGGTGAAAAGAGGTGCTGGCAAGCAGTATGAGAAAAATTAAGAGCTTTTTGAACATTTAAAGCATGTAAACATGTCACAGTAGAGGCCAAAAATACAAATATAAATCTGAAATTAGCATAATATGTCCTCTTTAAAACAAAACAATTCAAACCAAGGACATGTCTGCACTTCATTATCTGCTGTTGTGAGGACTGAGTGTGACTGTGTTTACTGTTCCCTCAGGTTTGTGTCTGACTGGGTGTATAGCGGCGTGTTCCGTGATGTTTATGGAGAATTCATGATACAAGTCAATGAGGAATATCTGGGCTGCAGAGGTGAGCCGCCACGCATCCCATCTCCAGTTCTGAAAATGAAAAAGCCTTCAGTGCCTGACAGATTGTCTAGCAGAAAAACATAGATTTCATTACAGCCTTTATTGCCCAGTTGGATTTGTCCTCGTGTCTATAAAGGATGTCATGAAGTTATTGGATGGTAATCAGTGGGAAACAAAATCAGCTACCACAGCTTTGGAGAGAAGAGCCATCTCTGCTCAGCGAGAGACAAATAATGTTCCTTTATTCTCTTCAGTCGGTACACCATGCTGGCTGAAATATTTCCTGAATTCAATTCGTTTTTTCTTACATTTCTTCTCTTGCAATTGCCATTGACAAATCTAACTGACTCCATTCTGCTACTCTAATTATTGACACTTTAAGGAGAGCAGAAGAGTATTTGAGACAGGAGATGATCCTTGCAGAGCGGATACATACAAACCCATCTGTACTCGGCAGGAAGTGACTGGCTGACTAAAGATTCATATTTACTGTGACATTCGAAGAGATTTGTATTTGTTTGCCATCATGGTGGCAACTAACTATTATTTGTATGATCTGTTAAACTGCTGTTCATTTTTTTGATTAACAGATTAACCATTTGGTCTAAAAAACATAAGAAGAAATCAAAAATCCCAATATTACATGTAGTGTTATGTAACACCAAGAAAAGCATCAAATTGTCCTGATTCCCCTAACTCCATTTCAAACTTTTTTGTTGGATATCAAAACATTCGCATAGCAACTATTTGACTAATCATTGCAGCTCTAGAGACATTAAAAACAGTGCGTTATGTTAAAGTTATATTGTTACAGATTCCATTCCTTGTTAAGTTTTTGTAATTGAAAACAAGTTCTAAACATATTATAGAACTGAAACAATCAATCAACAGAAAATTCATTTGCAACTTTTTTGATAGTACATTTTTAAAAGTTGTAATTTTTCACTAAAACTACCCAAACTGGTCTGGTTCCCCTTTTCAAACATTTGTTGCTTTTTCTCTTTTGGTTTGGGAACAACTAGAATATAATGTTTTATACACAAAGTGATTGATTAAGAAAAATAATGTGCAGAAGAATCCTTTGACAGTAATTGGTGGTTGCAGCCAAGTCTGTTCCCCAAACGAGTTCCCACTGTATCCGTTCATTTCCACAGTGCTCCATAAATATGGCTTTATATGAATCATCATAGCCTGTCCAAATATTGGATGTCATGCTACACCCCATTCAAGGTCAGACCATCACGTCGGCTTTGTCTGGCTCTGAGGTTCATTTGCTCATCGGCTACACCTCATCAACTCTCGCAGTGAACCTCTGCACTTCTCGCCCCTGCTCTTTGGAGGACACACAAATGTCATTGTTCTTCTCGAAGTACGTCGGCCAGGGAAGCAATCAGCAGCTAAGCTTTCTTGGCAAGCCGCGGGATTTTTGTAAAGAGCTCGGGAAGCTCGGAGCATTCATGTTCTCTTATGCCTTTTGCTTAGGATCACTGGGCTAAGCGCTAACAATTTCCAAGTGTTAATCCAAGCAACTAGAGTTTTGCCATGGCCCGTAAGTCATACTAATACGTTTTGGGTGCAGTGCAGGCTGAGTATAACTCCACCACTATTTATTTTGTGGAGTGTTGTCAGAGGCATAAAGGAGCAGCCAAACTACTTTTCCACTAAATATTGGAGCGGCATGTAAAAGGTGTCTTTGAATTTGTGCAGACAAACACTTCTGGGTCCAAGGCTACACTCTGATCTCCAAGGATGTGGAGGATTGTGTGCCCGTCTTCCTGAGACACATCGGCAATGATGTGTACGTCTGCGGAAAGACAATCAACCTCCTCAAGATCTGCTGCCCACAGGTTGGTTCTGCAAATCAGACACATTCATACATATATACTGCATACGGGGATTTCATGCATCCAAATGTTGTGTTAAAATATTGATGCATGTAACCTTATTTAGTCTTCATTTATTCGATACAAAGAGAATATTCTACTGTTACCCCACCATATTTGATCTGTTTTTCTTTCTGTAAAAAGCCATTCAGTGTACTGTATTGGCAAAAAGGTGCACAGATCGACTCTGCAATCCACAAAATCCACACTCCACAATTATCTACCTGCCACAACATGTTTCTACCCATTTGGAAATCCATACTGCTCAAAGCAGAAAGGACAAATAATCAATACAGCAACATATGGGGACACAGGCTCTTTCAAAGCGTCATCACTACACGTGCCTCGGCATTGGGATAAATAGTGTTGTGGTACTGAGGCACAGATGTTGTGATAATTTATTGCAGACACTTGAACTCTACTCTCCGTCACTGCTTACATTGGCCAGGTTTACTCCTTTGCAAAACAAGAACATTGCCTTATACTCTCCTGTTATGGGAAAGTGCCACTGTGTTGTTTCTTGGATGAAATCCTATCAATTGATCAAGTAGTCAGAACATTAGCAACTGCTTCTGAAAGGAATCATTAGATGCAGCCCTAGATGGATCAGGTGATATATGGCCTGCCCTGCAACTAGGAAATTAATATGCACATATTTGTTCTTGATTAATTTATTGGTCTCTAAAACATCATATAATGTTGAAAAATGTCCATCACACATTTCTAGACACAAGAGGACTTCTCCAAAGTGCTTTTTGTTTTGTCCAACCTTTAGTTTACTATAATGTTAAGCAAAAGAAAAGCAGCACATTTAGGAGCAGAATCATTTTTGCTTTAAAAACGACTAAAATGTAATACTTTTTCAGTCAATGGTTTAATCAGCTAATTGTTTAAAATCTAAATGATACTCTTGCAAAATCATACATAGCTCATAATTGCCTGTAAAGGAAAATCATTGGTTTTGTGCTCTAAATATAGTCAATGTATAATTATGAGAGTGCAAAGCGCCTGCAAAGAAAACCCCTGAGTCGCCTTTGTTTATGACTGGACCCCCCGGTTGTCCTAATGACAGGAAGCTTAGCAAGCCAGACAAATGGATCTTAAGTGAAGTGAAGAAGTTTCTATGTAATCTAATTGTATTTCATTTCCTTACTTCTCTTATGACTTGCCTGCTGATATAATGCTTTTTATGACACGACCTACCTGACCTTACCGCAGGGCCCATGCTCCTGACTAATTGGTATTCTGTAACTACAGTGTTTCTCCGTATGCTAATGACATGAGGGCTGGGGGTCGGTTATTATATCCTGGACAAAGTGCAGGTTGGCTGTGAATACGTGTGAAACTATGAATTGAAAAAAGGATGTTCAGCCAGATGCCTTGAACAAAGACAGTTTCTAGGGTACGCACATTCAGAAAATAAAAATAACATTGCTGGTTAAAAAAAGGCAAGATTTCTCCCAGACATTTTTTCTGTGCTACATTTGAGAATCAAATTTGGATTTATGCCGGAAGAAACTGTTTTGAATGAAACAACCAATGGCCAAATAGAATGTGGGTTGATCTGTAGTTATTATTAGAATTAATTTTCCAACAGACTTTGTAATGCAACATGCCTTGTAGTGAACATTGCTACAGTTTGATACTTTAAGTCTTTTTGTTACAAAAGGTGCTAGAGGTGTAAAGGCCCGGACACACTGGCCGTCGATAGATGTCGGGCCGTCAATGAGCGTCCTGTCACCCTACTCAGATTAGTGTGTCCCGCACCGTCGTGTCTTTTCGGCCGTGCCAACATCTTCCGCTCCTGTCTGTCGGCAAAAGGCTCTCGGCAAAATAATTCACTCTGATTGGCTGTTCAGCTTAGCGAATCAGTGCATGAGAAGCAAAACGGAAGTGAAAAAGGCACACACAGACGGCTATTATTTTCATTTTACAGTACCGCACTAAACATGTTTTCGATTATAAGTCGTTATGTGAAACAGTCTGTGATGGACGAAAGTGAAAATGGAACGCACGCTATTTGTTGTTTGTATATATCACACAGTCTGTCTTCCGGTTGCCTCTTTTGAATGACGAATACACACTACCGCCGCCTGCTGGTAAGGAGAGTTATTGCCACTCACGCATGTACGTGCTACTTGGCCGTCGGCTGAAGTCTTTGCGGTGTGTTCCAGTGCGACTTTTTGGCCTAGACGCAGGAGACGTGAGGCGACACAACAATCGGGTCCGTCGGGACGTGTTCTTTGGTGTCAGTTTGGTGTGTCAGGGCCTTAACAGTTAGTCTTATAATCAATTGGTTGATCAAAAGAAAATGAATCTACCATTTTTGTAATTTAATTATTGTAATTGTTCAAGCAGAAATGCCAACTGTTTCTTTGTCTTGTATAATAGCGTAAACACTTTTCACCCCCTTCCTGATGTCTAATTGACCAATCAACTAATCAAAGAACAATTGGGCTCATAGTAGGCAAAGTCCAAAAAGGTCAAATATATCAAAACGCATGATTTCAAGTCACCAAAATAGGACACTTAAAACAATGAGCGTCTTTTTGAGTACATGCTTCCTGTTGTGTGTCCACAGCACTACATCTGCTGGTCGGAGCTTCCGGTGCCTCGCATCGCTGTCACCTTCTCCCTCCAGGAGGTGGAGGTGATCGAGAGGGACTGTGCTGTGTACCGAGGGCGCATGGAGAGGATTGCTAAGCACAGCGCCATCAGCAGGGAGGAGCAGGTACTGACACTCAGGCTTATTATCTCATGCATTTAACTGTGATTAATTTTTACACCATTTCTAAAGTCTGTTACTCAGTTATATCTGACAAGAGGTTTGGCAGATACAGTATGAGAATATATTACCATGAATTACCTTAATAAGACAATGTTTTGCTTCTGCTAGCTGACTTTAATAGATTTCTAAATATCAAGGGAATCCTAAACTTCATGAAACCTGAAGTGAGAAAAATCATTTCACAGGAATTTCCTCCTAAGAAAGACAGAGGGGTTTCTTTCCCTTTCCCTTTTTCTTTTTTTAGATAAAATGATCAATGATTGTGACACTGCCCCTCAAGTACTGAGAATCGCAGTCATTATAATGATGCAGCTGAAGTCTGGGGCACGCACGCTGCTTGATTTAGTGTAACAGCCTAGTGTGCGTGACCTATATCGTGTGTGTGTGTGGTGGCAGCGCTGACTGGCAGAGGCCCGAGGAGGAGAGGTGAGCTACAGGGCAGCCGGATAGATCTCTGGTAATGATGATTTCTTGTCTGTCTTTCGTAAGGCCCAGCGAGTGGAGCGGGCGCGCCAGGAGCTGATCAATCAGGTCAGAGAGTCGGCAGTCAAAACCCTGGAGAGCATCCGCGGTTAGTGTTACACACACACACACACACACACACACACACACACACACACACACACACACACACACACACACACACACACACACACACACACACACACACACACACACACACACACACACACACTCACACTGAAAGTATGGTTTTGTGTGATGTATATGCACACCGCTGTAAAAAGCACACTCAATTTCTTGCTCTTGACTATGAGAGTCTCCTTCAGCTCCAATCATTCCTCCTTCAGGGGAGCAGCAGAGATGCACACAGGCCAAAGCAGTGAGGGATGCTTTGAATAGCTTCCTGCTCTATAGGCTGTGGATTGTAATCATCGCTCGCACAGTTTCTCCACATGATTGATTGCATCAAAGATGTGTGGCAGAGTTTGGGAGGGGTGTGAAAAGTCTGGCCTGGTGCTAGAAGGGTGTCTCAGTGTATTTGTTAGTGTTTGAGGCAGATGGTGTGTGTGACAGAGAAATACAGAATTGTTACGTGCTTTTCGATGCGGGGGGGTAAGCAGCACACTGTTATCTCTCTCGGCTCCTGTAGGGCGCCAGGTGTCACAACGTCTGGCTGAGGAAGCCAAGAAGAGAGAGCGTTTTGATGAGCTGAAGCAGCACCTGGAGCAGGAGCAAGAGGTGTGTGTGTGTGTGTGTGTGTGTGTGTGTGTGTGTGTGTGTGTGTGTGTGTGTGTGTGTGTGTGTGTGTGTGTGTGTGTGTGTGTGTGTGTGTGTGTGTGTGTGTGTGTGTGTGTGTGGTGTGTGTGTGTGTGTGTGTGTGTGTGTGTGTGTGTGTGTGTGTGTGTGTGTGAGAGTGTGTGTGTGTGTGTGTGTGTGTGTGTGTGTGTGTGTGTGTGTGTGTGTGTGTGTGTGTGTGTGTGTGTGTGGTGTGTGTTATATGTTATGTGTGACAAAAAGAGTAACACATGGGAAAAGGTGCATGTTTGTATTGACAAATGTGTAAGAAGTGAGAAAAGATGGTGGGTTAGAGCAGTGCTTCTCAACCTCAAGAATGATGATTGGGAAGGAAACAGTCTGTATATACAGTACAGAGGTAGATGCACTTTACTGGCAAGTGGTTTAACACTGTTTGGTGTCTAAACATTTGAATATATTTAATACTGTGCCCTCCCACAGCAACATTTTTATATTTTAATTAATATTAATTGTAAAAGCTATTACCCATTCTAAAAAAAAAATATTTTACTTTTAATGTTGTTTCTTTTTTTACCTCCAGTCCATAACCATATTTTTGCGACCCCCAGATAGGATATTGCAAACCCCTTGGGGAGCTTGTCACCCAGGCCAACTTTGGCTCTATAAAAGTAAACGTAAACTGTAAGGTAAAGCTAAATAATAATCCTGAACTCACCGTAAAACAGATATATTCCTCTGTAGGTTCATCACTAAAGCCGACCCCTTTCACATTGCATTAGATACATCTCAATTACAGCCGCTTTAAAATCATAACTTCAGATCAGAAATGTATGTATGAGACACATTAATGTAAACAGAAATTGGATCCAGACATTCCTCCCACAGCTTCCGATGCCCATTTTAGAAGCTGAAAGCAATCGTACATGTGTGTGTTTGTGTGTGTTTGGCACCAGTGGCGAAATGTTGCTGTGAAGAGGCAGCAGGGGGACGACTTCAGCTTTGCCAGAGAGCTGAGGGACAGAGAGCAGAGACTACAGGCCCTGGAGGAGCAACTGGAGCAGAGAGCCAGGTCTGACTGCTTTACAGCCCCTACTAGAGACTGCCATGTTTTATTGATGATTTTTTAATCTCTGTAAAGTTCTTATTTGATCTAGACTATATTAACCGAGAATGTGCAAACATGATGGGACATTAATTCCATCTGCGTGTGGTATTTCAGCAGCTGGTGATGTGATGAATTTCCCATGCAGTTTGGATAACTACATGATGCCACAGCATGAGAAAATGTGGTCAGAGCCCGTTATACGACCACAGCACAAGTTGATTTCCTTAAAATAGTGAAAAGTTAGCTCAGAGGTGTTGGAAATCAGAGTGTACCTGTGCCTGTCCCCTATAGCTCCTTAACTAATCCATTCACAGTGGCTTCCTTCACCCTACTGCCTTGCAGGAGTATTTATTACATCGTTTTAGGCCCTTATTATATGGGATGTGCTGTGAAAATATACCATATCCACTTAAGAAAAATGTATATTTCATATTTCACAGGCATTTACTGATTAAGTATTTATAGATCATTCAAGTGGCCTACAATTGGTTTAGCAAATTGCTCATAATTGAATTCAAAGCCATCACAGAGCCTGAAATGACATATTCACACTGAGGCTTATTGCAGACCAATACGCTTATCAGTGTCCCCCATGAGCGCATGCACACGAGAGCTTATCATTGCAGGGTAGAAAGAAACACTGATTGCTGGATGATTTGCACTCAAATTTAAATAGAAATGATTCGGTATTCAAATAAGACATATTATTTATAGTGTGATGGAATATCAGACTTGTTAGCCAATCTGTGTTTAGGATGAGTAGCGAATATGAATATGTTGCCTCTTCATATCTATGTTCAGTACTAATAAGAAACTGCAGACAAGCGATGTGGTGACTGATGAACCCGTGGAGAAAAATAACATCATGTAAAATTTGAGGTTGCATTTCGGATCCACGACTGCCATGTTTCAAATCATTATTGCACAACAAAACAAGACATTTTAAAGAGGCCCTAGTATGCCTTTTGGGGTTTTCCCTTGCCTGTTGTGTGTTATATATTATATAGGTTATATAGGTTTGCGTGCATGTAAATAGTTTGTAAAGGCTTAGATCCCAAAGTTCACACCAAAGGTCTCCCACACACTTCAAATATGAACCTGAAAAGGAGCAGAATAGGGCCCCTTTAAATGTGCCCTTAAACTAGGGCATTATTTCCTATTTTCGGAAAGATTTTAGACCTATCGATTCATTCGTAAATCAAGAGAACAGATTACATAATGAAAATCTTGATAATATGCATCTCTATATGACCTGGACTTTTTCCTATACATTCATTTTACAGCAAGTTACTGCCCCCCCCCCCATGAAACCCTCAGCTAATGTTTTTAATTGTTAGTTGTGTGTTACCACTTGTGCATTGTAGGAAAGAGCTGATAGCTCAGTACAGCCGTCTGTCAGAGGAGGCAGCTCGCAGAGAGATGCGGGCCATGTGGCGGGTGCAGCGAATGAGACTCGATGAAGCCCGATCTCAGTTTGTCATGCGTGACGGGCAGCAGATTCAGGTGGGTAGTGAATTATAATAGAAAACACAACAAAAGACAAAAGTGAAGATTGTTCAAAGAGACTTTTTAAGCTAAAGGAAGAAATTTAAAAAAGCTCTTGTGAATTATTTCCAGGCAATTCTCGAGAAATATCCTTTAGGCCAGGAGAGACCTCCCATGGAAGTGTTTCAAGCTGTTCCCTCAGTGCAACAGACTGCACCACAACCAGCACTGGTATAAAAACACACCGTTTTTTCTTCAAATTAAATCCTTTTTTCTTTATTTAATTCTGCTTTTTGGAAGTTAATGCTCATTGGCATCTTCTCCTAACAGGAATCTCCCACTCAGGACCCGCCTGAGCAGCAGCCAGCAGAGACTCAAGAATCTCATGCTGCCTCACCACCACCTCACCCATCCTCAGCCACCCCCCGTACAGCAGACCCAGCCCTTATCTCTGAAAATATCGACATCAATGACTTCCTCCCCAAGTCATCGAATGCCTCCAGCGAGCAGGTGGACTCTGCCTTACAGGAGATTGGCTCTGAGCTACCTGAAGTGTGTCCTACAGCACAGCTAGTAGACTATGACTTCAGTGCCCCCTTTAGTCCACTGGAGGGTATCACTGGCCAAGCCTCAGTCCAGCCCCGGCCTCGCTGGGGACCTGCAGGCCAGCCTGACATGATCCAAAACCATCCCTCTTTTTCTCACATCCCAATAGGAGAGAACATTTCTCAAGTCCAGGATGGCATCCCCAGAGCCAGCCCCTTTGGCCAAGCCTCCAAATCCAGCTTTCCTCTGGGCCAATACACCCCAGAAGAGCCCCAACCATCTGCATATACAGCAAGCATGTATGGACATCCCTCTCAAGCCTCAGTGCAGCTTGTGGATGGGAGTGGCTCTATGACTGACAACAAGCAGGAGGAAGTTGCGTCTATGTCAGAACAGAAGACTGAAACAAGGAGTTTAGAAAGTAAAGTAGAGGGATATAAAGAAAACGCTAAATCTGTCGACGATTATGTGTTTGATGCTTTGCCAACCTACAAACCAGAGCTAAGTGGCAAAGCAGAGACAAGTCTTTCTGATTGTGGTAGGATTGTTCTACCCGATGGAAGCGCTCAAAATAAAGCTGATAATATTTCAATGCCAAACACTCAGGTCTCTGGAGAGCCAGTTTTCGATGCGGTTGCCCAGCAGCCTTCACTTAACACCCACGGCCACTCCTCTGATTCCCACATACAGATCGGACAGCTTGTATCAGAGGTAGCTGCTCCTCTTCCATCCCATAATGTCCACGGGCATGCATCAGATTCACACATGAAGATTGGAGAACATGCTTCAGAAGTTGAAGCCCCTCTACCTTCCCACAGTGTCCACGGTCACTCTTCTGATGCACACATTAAAGTCGGGGAAAATGTTTCAGACTTTGTCGCTGCTTTTCCTTCTCCAAATGTCCACGGTCATGCGTCAGATGACCACTTTATAGTCGGCGAAAATGTCTCAGATGTAGACGCCCCTCTGCCCTCCCCCAACATTCATGGTCACAGTTCAGATGCCCACATTAAAGTCGGAGAAAACATCTCAGATTTTGTCGCACCACTTCCTGTTCACAGCATCCACGGTCACTCCTCGGATGCTAATATAAAAGTGGGTGAGTTTGTGTCGAACGTGACCGAAGCAACACCTCGTCCGAGTAAACATGGGCATGCATCAGACGGTATACTTCGACCAGGCTGTGTGGTATCTGGAGATGAAGCCACCTCTCCTTCACTACCTGGAAGCACTTTTGGTCACTCCTCGGACTCAGGGTTGGGGGCTGGATGTGTAGTTTCAGGAGACGAAGCCAAGCGTTTCCCTATACCCGGCAGTGCCCATGGTCATGCTTCAGATTCACATATAGCCAGTGGATGTGTTGTGTCGAAAACTGAACCACTTCCATCACTGGTACCCGGCAGCGCCTACGGCCACTCCTCGGATTCAACGCTGGGGGGGGGTTGCGCGGTCTTAGGAAAAGAGCTGCAACCCTCTGTACTACCAGGCAGCACTTATGGCCACTCATCAGACTCTTCACTTGCGGTTGGGTGTGTGGTGAAGGGTGATGGCATCCTGAATCAGCAGAAGACAGAAGACAATGAAGACGGTAAAGGTAATGAATAATATTTAAGTGATATAGTTCTGCAGCTGTGAGGCCACGCTTAAGTGCCACTTAGAAATCTTTGGATAGTATAGTAAGATGTTACGATCGTTGATCCAAATATATTCCAGATCAATAAACTCACTCTTTCATTCTGTTTTATTTTATTGCATCAACTCAAGACAACAGAAAAACATGCATTCAAATGGATGTTCACAACAAGTAGATAATGAAAACATTTTATTATTGAAATGAATGCCTGAGGGCTTCAATAAAACACCCTTCTTTCCATTTCTGCAATCGACATACAAAGCCTAGTGTTCTATTTACGCTGAACACTTATAACTATTATGGTTTTGTTCTCTACAATTGAATTTGCATCAACTGACTCTGCCTTTTCATTTAAAACTCAATTTTTCTAGACATTCTATGAAATACAGCGATTGCATTTGTTTCCCTTTTGTTTCTGATGCATTAGTGTTTGTTGTGTCTACCAACAGATTGTGTTTCTATGTTAAAGTCATTGTTGTACATCTCTCCTCAGGGTTCACAGAGTCCTGGGCAGCCGGCTTTAGTTTGTCTCCTGGAGAAAAGTCTGAGCAGGAATACCTCTTGGCTTTGTGTGCTCAGTACGAGGTGGAACAATACGAAGACTGCTACAACCTGATGGGTTAGTTAAAAACATTTCTCTGGTTACATTTTATCTGAGCACTATGATGTTCATACATTAGCATTTGTGTACATGCTAGGGGAAATTTGGGCAGATACAATGTAGTGACAAATAATTATTATCTAAAAAGGAAAACAAAGTGGATCAAAAACGAGATTTTGAGGAACTCCGCATCTTGACTTTGTAGGAGAGGATATGAATTGATGTATATTAACAGAAAACGTTTTGATAAAAATACAATTATATAAGAAATTAGTGAGTTACAGTTTTAAGGACAATTAGTATTACAAATTAAACTAAACTTATCTAAAGGTGAATATTTGGTATTAATAATCTAAGTAGCAATGGCCTAAAGTTATTGATTAGATAAAATAGGAACTGTTTTCCAAGCATAAATCAAATCAATTAAAATGATTTGGTTGTTAATATAATACAAATAATTGTACCTCTTCTGCTTTAAAATAATGACAGGGTGTTCGCAGGGTCTTAAAAAGTATTAAAAGTTGATAAATCAATTTAGCGAAAATGAAGGCTATTAAAAAGTATTAAACGGCATTTTCCAAGGTATTACATTTCGTAGCTTGTTTTCAATAAGTATATAAATGGTCCAAAGAGGTTGTATTCTACAGTCTGCCTGAATGTAATCATTGCGTAGGTGTGTAGTGTGATTCTGTGTAGTTTATTTATGGCATCCCGTTGGGTTTGACGTCATCTGAACAGGACATCACACGCTCTCTGCTTGATAGCGCGCGAAGGTCCGTTTACGCCGGTTGTTAAACAACATCGTTACGGGGAAATGCAAGTCTGCGTCCCAATGTTGGAAGATAAGGAGGAAGGACAATCAATACTGTATATAGTCAATGTGAGGTAAAGTGTGTCGCCAAGGTAACCGGTTAAAACTCAAAGTGGTGACGAGGTCTTAAAATGTACACATTACAATTGCATTTGACTTCAGGATTCCTGCATAGACCCGGAATGACTAAAACTGTGCGAGGGATTACATACTCTAAATCTGCTACCTTTTTTAAATGAGATGAGACTAAACACTAAAATAAAGCCTTAGCCATTCATTTCCTAACAATACGGTTGCAGCCTACATTAACATTCTGGTAAAAAATGGTACCCCTCTGATCTTCCGATGATATTCTGTATTCTAAATGTAAGAATATGAGCATGTCTACATGGTTGGACAGTATGTGCGGCCAGTTAGCTACATGATGTTTCTGAATAACTTAATGATAAATGAAACATCTTGTGAAATGGAGCAAAACATTATGTTAAATTGCTGAGATATAAAAATGATACACCTTACAGCGTTGAGTTTATTTCATGTAAATCAACACAAATCTTTTGACATGTTCAGGAGTGATGTTTTTCCAGAGGCTGTTAAATATTTACTCCCATCAGCATGCACAGTGGTTGCATAAAAGGCAGTGATATTTCACAAGGGTATTAAGTCTGGTTTATGTTTGGTTGGGATGCATCATGGTTCGCTGAAGTGATATCCTGTCTTTTTCGCCTTGTGTGTCATGCTGCTATTATTCATGCCAGCTCCCAGGGTCTCCGTGAAATCAGTCAGCCGAACACATCTTCCACACTACTGATCAAAGTCAGCAGCTGTAATTACTCAGGGGGTGTTACTATAAATATAGAAGTTAGCCAAAATGACACGAACATCTTGCAATATATTGTTATTTAATGAAAACACTGATCAGTAAATACTATGCATATTCAAAAAAACTAAAAACCTGGCATTTATAATAGAGGAACACATTTAAAGATTTTGGGAGTAGGACTAACCATTATTTTCATTAAGGATAAAATAAATATCAAAAGCCTCCACATGTTCAAATGTCTGGTTTTGTGCAAGTATCAGTCAAAACCTGAAGATATCCACTTTAAAGGTCCCATGTCATGCTTTTCTGGTTATCACCCGTCCCCTTGTGTGTTATGTAGCTTTTTATGCATGTAAACGGTCTGCAAAGTCACAAACCCTCAAAGTACACCCTGTAGCGAATAAAACTCTAACACAGAAACGACCTGTCTATGCTGCCCCAGAACGCCTCGTTGGAGATTTCTCTTTTTCCATTGTTTACTTTTTGGTTATAGTGACGTATTTCGGGTATAGTGACGTTACGTCCGCGGAGCCGTTACGTTTGGACCAATCCGCGGACTTCCTCACACACACACACCGCGGAACTCAGCCTGGGCACACACACAAACTCCCAGCCAGGCTGCGGGTGTGTGTGTGTTTGGGGCTGTGTCTCGCTGTCTCGCAGACGGCCACTGGGCTCATAGAGGGGGGGGGGCAGGAGCTCCAACAAGCCGTTTCGGACAGAGAGTGAATACACATACTATACAGAGATGCTGTATGAGAAACCAATGTGAGTTTGGAACATTGAACAATATAAATCTATTTTAGTAGACCTCAACAATGGAATTATGATCAGTAGAAATGGCCATGACATGGGACCTTTAACATCATAAAAGAACACGTGAATTTTAACATTTGAACAATGGAACGGACAGTTTTGGTCAGAATTACTCTTAATCTTTTATTTTAAATAGTTGCAAATAAATGTAATTTCATTGATTAAATTGACTAATTGTATCTGCCCTAAGCTTAATCATTTAATGAATTGTTAAAGTATTTATTATCATCATATTACAGTATTAAGATAATATTTTTCCTTTGATTATACAAATAATTTCTCCTTTGCTCTTTTTACAATACCACAGTTTTCTTCAGTTGTGAGATTGAAATGAATTCATCGAACATGCCTTTGATCTCCCTCTCCTACAGCTTCGTCCCCTGAGTGTCAGCTGTTGAAGCAGGTGACTCGCGGCCCCTGGGGTTTCCCTATGGACCCCACGCTCTGCAAAGCCACTGACACCACCGCCGTCCAGCTCAGCGAGTTGGTTTCACTGCCAGTTCTGATAAAACAGGCCGTCACCACGCCGCTCACCACACAGTAAGTGTCTGACTGAGAGAAAGCTGCAGGAGCAAAGTGTGGTCTGGATTTTATTGTAGTTTATAAATGTTAGTTTTGAGTGTCTGAGAAAAACGTGATTATTTCAACTTGAAGTGGACTACTTTGTTTAAGAGAAAGGCAGTGGTGAGGCTTTCACTGATCTGTTGTCATTTTTCTGCTACTTCAATCCACTTAAACTGTAGTTGAGTGCACACTTTTCTGGAAAAAGAGCCTCACCTTATCCCACTGTTAAACAAAATGGCAACTTGTTAGGAATCATTTAAAGCAATGGTAATCAGGAATGATCCAAAAAGTGAAACACCAGTATATTCCCTGAGCTTTCTCCAGAGCTGATGTCTATTTTCCTCAAAACCTTAATTAAATATGCAAGTCAGCAGTTTTATGGCGAGGGATGCGTTGCCATAGTAAGACCACATTACGTAACATCAGATTTGATGTAGAGCTGTTCAGGGCCACAGAGTTAACCATCATGTGATGTTTGGTGGCGTTCTGAGCATGTCAGTTGGAGTTAGGACATCATCATGTTCCTAACGACGTTATGAAACACCTGTGCTTGAGCCCAGAGATCAAAGGTGTCCATGGTGATGTGCAGTAATCAGTGAGAGGAGAGCCTTTCCATTGTTCTGAATGAGAGATAAACCTCTTACATGTGAACGTTTTGTTGACATTTTACCCTCATTCTTGAATGTAAACTGTTCTTATTTTGCTAATTGTCCCCTCCACCTTCCATCCCCAGTGTCTCTCTAGTGAACAAGGCAGTGGTGGACTACTTCTTTGTGGAGTTAGGGGTGGAGAGACACTTTGAGGCGCTGCGCCATTTCCTGCTGATGGAGGATGGCGAGTTCGCACAGTCCCTCAGCGATCTGCTCTTTGAAAAGGTGAAGCTCTTATATAACTCCTATATCTCAAGTAAATAAGGGAGATGTATTTATTGCATTCTAGCAGAGGACGAGCAAGGACAACTTGGTCAAGGCCTAATGTCTTCAGTTTAATGCAATACATTTTAAACAAACACTTTTTCTCTACTGCATGTATTCAGTGTTAACTGCTGCGAAGCTTGAGAGCAGGTGAAGGTCACCTTGTACACTAAATGATTTTGTGCATGAACAGTAAGTACATCCTGAGTATTACCCTAGGCCAGGGGTGGCCAACCCGCGGCTCTCGAGCCGCATGCGGCTCTTTGCCTAGTTTCATGCGGCTCTTCAGTTCATATCGAATTGTATATGTGTGAGTTTGGGGGAGAGACACTGACTCCTGACTAGTGTTGCACGGTGTACCGATACTTGAAAGGTACCGCGATACCCTGCCGTTAAAAACGTTACGATTCCTCCGTTTAATTAGTATCGGTACTTTAAGAATGACGGGGAAAGTACTCCGGTGAGAAAGCGCCGTTTTAATAAGAGCCGTGTGTGTTCAGCGCTCTGCTTCCACTCCCTGCACTGCAGCCGTGCCTGCAGTCCCGCCCCTCTCAAGCACGCTCAAGTGCCTCCCCTCTCTCGTGCACGCGCTAGCTGCCAGAGCATGTGAGAAAACGAGAAGCATGGTTGCAAGTGGGAGTGCAACTGCCGCTGCGCCTCGGCTTGTTGACAAAAAAGACGCCAGAAGCGAAATTTGGAAGTATTTGAGCGATATCTCTGACAGTGAGGGCAAGCCTACGGACACCACGAGGCCTGTCTGTGAGAAATGTATTAATTTTATTTAATAGGAAATCTTGTCATTTATTTTATTTATTGTTCTCATTGTTTAAAAGTTTGTGTTATGGTTCTGGTGTGAAATAAACCACAATAATTACATTTAAGACTGTTTCCCTTTTTTTAAGAAAAGTATCAAAAAAGAATCAGAATCGCAATTCTTGACTTGGTATCGAAACCAAAATGGTATCGTGACAACACTACTCCTGACAGTTAAACCTGATATTTAGTAGGTCTGTTAAGTATTAACATAATTTGGCCGGTCAAAGTTGTTTGGGCTCGGATAAAATCGCTCCGTTACTTTCGTCCCGTGTTACTTTCGTCCCGGCTCTCCCTACGTGTGTATGTGTGGTGTCAGGTGTCAGTATGAGAGGATGACAGCGCGTCTAATTTTGATGTGGCCCAAGAGCCAATCAAAATAATACCTGTGATGCAATGAACCAATCACCTTTGAGGGGGGGGAAACCTATCGTTGATTAAACAATATCCAGTGTTTCCCCTACCATTGTCTTGGAGGGGCACTGCACCCCGCCAACGGAGCCCCGCGTCCCCCCTGAAATTCAAGGTGTTTAAAAAATATATACAATTTTTTTTTTAAATATATATAGCACCAAATTGCAAATAATCTATAACTACTGTCACTTTTCACATTGAACATGTGCTCTTTTATTAAATAAACTAAACGCTTTCATTTTAAGTTGTGAGTTTAGTGTTTTTGACCCTAAGTAACACTGATGCATTAATCAATAACAATAATCCACAGCTCCTCTCTCTGCTCCAGAGGATTTAAAAAATATATCCCAATGCCACAAAAATGCATCAGTGACGTGGTTGAAATCTTGTCTCCAGAAAACAAAAAAACGGAAACAAGCGGTATCAGTGACTGTGTGTTTGATGTGGCTCTTTGCAGTAAAATAGAAAAAATGTGGCTCTTAACCTCTGACTGGTTGGCCACCCCTGCTCTAGGCATACACTAACACTCCAGTACACAGATTTACTGTAGACGTTTTTTTTAAATGTACCTGACTCTTGTTTCATTCCCTAGTGAATGTCTTGTGTAGGTGTTCATATCCTCTGATGTGAAATTTGCAGTTATTAGTCACCCAGTTTTTCAAGCTTTTTTGCTGTTTAGCTGTATTTGCTGACACAGGTGATAATTGTCTGGGCGTACAGCTTTGTCACATTATTTTTCACAATTTAATATAAGAATATTTTATATCTGACGTCTCAGTGGCTGTTTTGCTTCATCAAATGGACTCCCTGCTTAGATTCTCAGACCCCCAAGCTTCCTGCCGCGATATAACAATCACAGCCTTGGCACCTCGGTGTTGTTCTGCACAAACATTCATTTACATCCGTCTCATGAGGCCCATCAGACAGAAGGATTTTGTTTCCAGCCAAACACTACACCAGCTGATCTCACTGATTAGCACACCTTCAACCGGAAAGCCAGCTAATCACTGTAATCGACTACACGCAGTGTTTGTCTGGGGAAAACGCTGCCAACTCTTAGGCCTTGGTTGCATATTTGAGGAGACTTGGAAGAGGTACGATTAAAAAAATCCTTAAACGTCTCCTATTATACTGTTTTTCATCTATATAGTATAATAGGTCTCGGATATATTCAAAACATGTCTCTGAAGTGTTTGCCTCGAAACACAAAACATTGTAGTATCCCATAAACCCCTCTGTTTCAGCCCTGTTTCAAAAGGGATGATTCTCTGGGTGTTTCTCAATGTCAAGGAAGGATGCTCCGGAGCCACTATTTCAAGGATGCTACGTCATCGAGTCCCGCCGAAGGACTGTTTCAATGTCCAGGCTCCTTGGATTTCTACCGAGGCCGGCGTCCTTCATAGCGAGAAATTTCGAGGCTGCACATGTGTATCCTCCGCGGTCTTAAAATCCCCACAATGCTTTGCGCACGGACCGATTTCCAAATCTTTGGCGGAAATCGCGCTCCATTTAAGGCGGGGGCCTCGCATACTGTATGACGCACACTTGTTAGCCTGTTCCACCATTCTTCGTTTTCCGAGGCTAGGAAGGATTCTTGCCTTGCTTCTGAAGGAAGTGACTCGGAAGACATGTGCTACCAAGGAAGCGTCCTCGACATTGAGAAACACCCTGTGTCTGTTACTTTAGATGAAAATAAGGAGCCACTCCCCACTCGCCTCTGAGAGATATTTGGTTAAAAAGAACACAATGGTGCTCTAGGAGGAGATTCAGGTGATAAGGGTGGGGGGGGGGGGGGGGGTTACCTTGATTGGTTATTGGCTAATGGTTACACAAGGCAAGAGAACATTATGACATCATAAAGTGGCCAAAATCTGATCAGCTCATTTTCAGACAGGTTTTTATAGAAATGGATCAAGACAAAAAGTGAGAGAATCTTTTTTCCTGAAACTTTCAGAATCTCTTTCCACAGAGGGGACACATGTTGATGTAGAAGAGACATGGAGAAGAGGGGACACAGGTTGATGTAGAAGAGACACGAAGAAGAGGATTTTGCATAATAGGTGACCTTTACATTTTGTGTAATTATTTGACAAATGTCTCGTCCCTGCAGATGGGCAGTGGGCAGACCCCCGGGGAGCTGCTGACCCCCTTCGTCCTGAACTCCATCCTCAGTAAGGCCCTGCAGTACAGCTTACACGGAGACACACCGTTAGCGGGTAACTTCACCTTCGCCCTGCGCTTCCTCCCAGAGACCTTCCACCCGCACGCCCCCGACTCCCTCAACTGTCTGGAGCTGCGCTACAAGGTGAGGCGCTGTGTTTCAGTGGAGTGAGTAACGGAGTGCGAGCGCTTGCATGAGTGCGCTTGTCGCAGCGTGAGTGGCAGCTTGAATGTGACGACCTGTCATGTTTTGACAAACTGCTCTGGGTGTGGAAAATGAGCTTATCAAGCACTTAATGGTGGAACCTTGCAGATTGATTGGAGTTGAGTCTTTCGGATGACATGTACAGTTACTTATGCCGCACATATTGTCCTCTACTCTGTGTTTTTCTCCCTCCTCACGGCTCCGTCTCCTGCTGAATCTCCATGTTTTACCTTTCCTCCTCCCTCTCCATCTTTTGCTTCTCATTTCTTTGCTACGCTCTCTCCCCATATACATTTTCCTCATTCCTTTCCCACTCCCTATCTCTCACTACCCTGCCTTCCCTTCACAATCCTCTCATCTCCTGTATCAACATCTCTGCACTCACACCTTTCTCCTCCCCTCGCCTCATTTGTCACGCTTCATTTTACCTGTTCTTCAAGTCTTCCGTTTCCTTCTTCACACTCACACCTTCACACACTGTTTGTTCACCCCCCGTCTCTTTTCCTTCCCGTCATCTCCCAGGTGGACTGGCCTTTGAACATCATCATCACGGACAGCTGCATGAACAAGTACAACCGTCTGTTCTCGTTCGTGCTGCAGCTCAAACACATGGTGTGGAGCCTCCGCGAGGTCTGGTTCCACCTCAAGAGGACAGGTGAGGAAGAGGAGGGAGATGACATTCAGACGCAACTTCACCTCTGAGCAGAAAGAGTTACAATTCTTCCCGTTGTGCTTCAACTGTTTATAAAATATTCATTGAGGGGGATGCTGTGATTCCTTTATGTTTTATTTATACGTCTCATAGCAGTGGGACTGTAGTCAAAACAATGTGCTTCACTGGGCCGGATAGTATTGATCAGTGGGAGCCTGTCCAGAGACTACTTAAATGGATATCCTGAAGGGGTAAAAACGTAGTGTTAAGGTGTACGAGGGATGTAGCCTTCACTGAAACAATATTATTCACAGTAGATCTCCACATTTAAATGCCAGCAAATGTTTCCCCGCAGCACTGACTTGTTTCCATCTGACTCCCCTCAGCTCTGGTGAAAGGTGCGGGCCGCTCGGTGCAGTTTCATCAGCTGCAGCTCTACAGACATGAGATGCAGCATTTTGTTAAAGTGATACAGGGATACATCACCAACCAGATCCTGCAAGTGTCCTGGATGGAGTTCACTGCCAAACTGGCCACTGCCAACGACCTGGACGCCATCCACCGCACGCACGCAGACTACCTCAACAGAGCCATCTTCAGGTGAGGCCTGGAGCTACATGTGCAATATCATACCAGCTGTTGCCTCCATTCAATTCAATTCAAAACCTTTATTTATACAGATAAAACCCATTGAGATCATAGACCTCTTTTACAATGGTGACCTGCTTCAATTAGTTCCAAACATTAATACAAACATGACAGAAAAAATCCATCCCCAAAGTAGATGATTTGATATGTTTGCTCAATTTGTTGCAAGGTAGGAGACACTTTGGACCAAGATCAAATGTCCTTGTGTCCCCTTGAAAGAACACATGTTCCACTTTGCAGTATTTTTTGAGTGATCACAGCTTTCAGCGTTATCAGCTGTTAGCCTGTGCACCCCATGTGAGAGCAGATCACCTTGTAAACTCAAAGACTGCATGCATAAACAACATGAATAGACACATGCTGAATACACCTAAACACGTCACCTGTGGACATAGATTTACAGATGATGGGTCACAAAGCAGTCCTCTCTACAGGAAGTCACAAATGCCTGGGAGCATAGCTGTAACACTTTGGATTGATAGAATTAGTTGATGATGCTGCGTGAATTTAAAGGCATTATATGGAAGTGCTTGGCTGATGGACATCTCTACATGTACAGCAGTTACACAAATTGTCAAAATGTTGTATAAAAGAATACATTCAATATGATGCGTGTGGTGCAGTGGGTTGTGTGTTGGTGTTCGGATCAGGGGAACAGGTTCAAACCCCATTGCAGTCAGCATGTCGTTGTGTCCCTGAGACACTTCACCCCAAATTGCTCCTGTGGGGATTGCCCACAGTATTGAGTATGTAAGTCGCTTTGGATAAAAGCGTCTAACAAGTGACATGTAATGATAAATACTAGCACAAAGTCAGTAACACATAAGTAAGGATTTGAGGGTTTTTCTCATATCAAATGTAGATTTCTTTACAGTTGTCTGATCTTTTATTGACACTTTACAGTATGAAGGTATGCAGATTTTGAAATGTGGTGATTGGCACAAATCCTTAGACGAGGCGTTGGAGTTGGTATTGGCAGAGAAAAGGTTGGATGGATGCCTCCCTAGAAAAACACTTACGGCCCGTCTACACTACAGGCGTCAAAAAATGCTTTCAACGCTTCGCCCATTCATTTGAATGGGGTGACGTAGGATATTTTCAAACTTCGCCGAACTGCATTGTGGGTAGCATGGCAAGGCGTTGCAAGCATCGCGAGCATCTATCGGCGTCAAAAGTTGAACAATGTTCAACTTTTGAGGCTCGATGCTTGCTCGAAGCTGGCGTCAGCCAATCAAATCCCGTTTATGCAAATCCCGCCAGTACAAGCGCTAGCCAATCAAACCGCGTGCAAGCTGGGAGAGCCAGACCGCAGTTCATTTCCTCATATTCCAAACGAGAAATTACGGTAGCAAATCACCCGGTTCTTTCCGACCAGAACTATTTACCGGGATACAAACCGGAGGAACCAGGCATGGAGGGAGGTGGCAGAGACAGTGGGTGAAACTGGTAGGTTTTCGCCTGTTTGGGGATTTTATATCCAGTTTACTTCGTTTTAACATTGCTATTGCTTTGTATGTCGGGGGCGGGAGATTCATGTGATTGGTTGTTGGTCGCGTTGCTCGCAAAAAATCGCCAAGTTTCAGACACGCCCAGCTTCAAGCTTTTTTGACGCCTGTAGTGTAGACGGGACGTTATATTTGGGCTCAGGTCCAGAAAATAATTAAAACTGTCCATCAATATTTTGCAGAGCTCAAAGTGTTGAAAACAAGTCTTATTTGGTGCGATCCACAGTCCAAAACTAAAAGATATTCAAATCAACCTAACTAGAAATGATTGGTCTTTACGTCTTTTGCTCAACTCATTATATCAACTTATAGATTGCAGATTTATAATTGCAGCTCAATTTGGTGCATTTTTTGGGGAACCCTTATCCTTCAAATACAGTCAAAATTACACGTTTTTTTATCGGTGTTCTAAGTTTTGTGAATGTTAACATAGACAGTAAATATATATATATATTACACACCATCAGGATTTCAGGACGCAGCATGGAAGAAAATGCAGAAAAATTCACTGGAGATAAATCATTTCTCCGGGCTCTGTACAGGCTCAGCAAGTTGGAGTGGCACTCTGCACCCATCATTTCATACACAATTAATTCACCCTCTTCGTAACAACTTAATTAAAATGCCAGACGGATGGGAGGTTAACTTTTGAACCTGATGAATGATTTCATCTCATTAGGTGAGGTTGTAAGTATCACACTTTCCCGTGTATGATGCCAGCCCTTCCGAGAAGTCATCTCAAAGTTCCTTGTCATGTTTCCTCAACTCTGCACCCTCCCTGTCCCCCCCAGGGGTCTGCTGACGGAGAAGGCGGCCCCCGTCATGAACATCATCCACAGCATCTTCAGCCTCATCCTGAAGTTCCGGGCGCAGCTGATCGCACAGCCCTGGGGCAGCCAGCAGGGGGAGGCGGTGCACCCCAGCTTCATCGCCATGCAGCAGTCCTACAACACCTTCAAGTACTACTCACAGTTCCTCTTCAAAGGTAAGGATACAACATCTTTACATATACTATACACTATAACACCCCTTGTTGTTAAATACCAACCAACTATGTGCAATATATATGCCGTTAATAACTGCAATATATACCTGGCTGCTAAATCCTCAGAACTGTTACAGGATGTGTATTTTGTAATTTTTTCTTAATTGTTATCTTTAATACTTTTGTATGCATGCTTCTTACATGACGCTGTCTTTGGCTGCTGTAACAATGTCAATGTCCCCTCTGTGGGACTAATAAAGGTATTCTGATTCTGATATGCTCATCACGTAGCTTGATTCACCTGTTGCTCAGTTTGCAAATGATGTGTTATAGAAGTATCCACTTGACATTAAATCAGAAAGAAATGTCTACCTGATAAGACAAGAGGGAGGCCATGAAGACCAGATGCTCCTGCCCACTGTTAAAATGGTTTAAACTGTATTTAGTCTTTTCATTTCAACCCGCAATGTAAGTAATGGTTTCCAAATGATGTCAAATTTAGAGTTTGTTTTTTAAAGCATGTCAAATGAATGTAAGGGATTACTTTAGTCATCCAGCTCTTTTATTGGAGTAGGTCGTATTGTATCTGAGTATTACCCTTTTAGCAGTGATGAGGCAATAAGAAAGATGTTTTTAGGAGGAAGTTAGATTTACCCTTGATTAACATGCCCTGAGGATAATGAGTAAAGCATCTGGTTCTGGAGAAAAGGTCATTACTTTGGAAATAATGTCAACAAAACGGCCCAATTATATATTAATGAACAATCAAGACAAAGTATAAAACTTGAAAAAAAACATATTGCTTAAAGCTGCTTGTTTTGGAATATAACATTTTATGACGTATTGTGGATACAATTGAACAAAATCCGTGTGTGTGTGTGTGTGTGTGTGTGTGTGTGTGTGTGACATGTTATATGTGACAAAAAGAGTAACACATGGGATACAATTGAACAAAATCCGTGTGTGTGTGTGTGTGTGTGTGTGTGTGTGTGTGTGTGTGTGTGTGTGTGTGTGTGTGTGTGTGTGTGTGTGTGTGTGTGTGTGTGTGTGTGTAAAACATGATTAGGATAAATAAGTAACAGTAAGAGTTTTTATTTGTATAAATATATAACAAACAAAAAGCTTATCTATGGTTTACTAAGTTGTTCTGCCTTTAGGATTTTTCCTGTTCGTGCTTGTTATTACGGGATTATTTCTTAAAGCAATGTAAGTTATAGTGGATGTTGTCCCCCATCACTGACATTACGTGTATAAAATACGTATTTGCAGATGTTTATGTGAAGATACTGACGCATTATACATCCCCACAAATCATTCTGTAACTGAACCACAGAGGAGTGGTAACTTCTTGTTAAAAATAGAACATATGTATTAAAGGTGGGGTAGGTAATTCACTTCAGAAACCCTTTTTGTTATATTCCATGGAATGCTCTTAACATCCGATAGGAATGAATAAATTAGATGCTTTGACAATAAATACATACAAATATTTCATCTGTGGAAGCCGTGCTGTAAAAAGCACGACCAATCATCGGCCCGGCTAAAGTAACTGGATGGTCTACCTGCCTGTCAGCCTTCCATCTGTGCACAAACTTATCTCGTGCCCTCATTGGTCATGTGCGCTTCCTGTGTTGGAGGAGGGGCTCTGTGAGGAAGTCTGAAGGAAGGGGCAGATTTTTTTCGGCTGCGTACTTTCAAACTCTAGCGCACTCGAGCTGTTTTCTCCATTCTTACCTACCCTACCTTTAAGTGATTTATGTTTCCTCTCTCCTCAGTGGTGACCAAGCTGGTGAACCGGGGCTACCAGCCTCATCTGGAGGACTTCCTGCTGCGCATCAACTTCAACAACTACTACAAAGACTCCTGAGCTCTGTTCTGGTGTGTGTGAGCTGTAGGCATAGCTACTTATCCAATGAACCTTCGTGTACCGTGTGCGTTTACATTTTTAGAATCCCTGAAATGTGTTTAAAGGAAACATAATCAGACGTGTGTGATAAATGCAGTTCCTCTGGCCTTCATTTCACTGTTCAAAATATATTCAAAAACCCACCGGTGCTTTATATTAGAGCATGCGTCTGACATTAAAGCCAGTTTAAGTAATGCATGTGCAGGATCTGAACTACATGTCTGCGCTTGATTAATGGCTTTGCTTCTGGACTCTCTGTATGCTGCCAACGTTTGTAAAGATGCCTACTGTAAAGTCTCCGCTCAGGTGTTCTTCCAGCTGTATAGAATATAAGTGCATATATATTATGTATTATGTAAATACACAAGCAAAATGACTTTTTTTTCTTTCTAGTTTTGATGCTTAAGTACTTTTGTGAAGAAAACACATTATGTAAAAAAGCTACTTGTATTTATTCAAGATCACATGTTAGCATTTATTTAAGAAAACTAGGACAAATAAGGTGTAAAGCATTATGGGTAATGGATTGTGTCAACCTTGGCTATTCATAAAAGTAGAGGGCAGTATTTACTGTATAACTGAAATGTATGTTCTACACCATGAGCACCCAGAGTTCTCCTGATGTTGCTTTCACTTTCAAGGGCAAACATACAACAAGAATAAGCAGCACGGCAGTAACACGTTTAATGGGCTGCAGCAAGAAGAGGATTTATTTTATTGAATGGATGGTTTAGTTTAAAAAAACATCATATTCATAAATCAGGAATAGGACAAGCTTGTGTAAGTCGAACAGGAAAGAAACTCTGAGGCTGTTGTGGACTGCAGGTTAGTTTGCAAAGCTTTAGTTTTATTAACGGTGTGATTGAAGCGCGTCAACCAGCACCTGGAGAAGAACAGGGCAAACATACTGGATGGATAAGCTGTTCTTTAAAGCATCAGAAGACCTGCCAATACGCATTCAGGCAACAGGAAGAGAAATGGTTAACCGTCGCGACTTAAAGCAAAAGTTTGACATTTAGGGAAACACGCTCATTATCTTTCGAGTGTAGCAAGATGGATACTGTGACCCTTTGACAACAACATTTTCATTAAGAGTACCACACCACCTTAATCATCAAATGTATTCACTTTTCAAGGACTCCCCAGATCCAATTATTTTCAAATTGAAGGACCCAATAGGAAATAGTCTGAGACGTGGTTCAAGGTTAATTACTGTTACAGTTTCATAATGAGAAGGCTTCACAAAAGCTTCAGGCAAAGACCACAGAGAGAGGCTTGAATATATGAACATGTCTCCATTGTGCTGTGAGAGTCGTGTACTCTCTTGCCTTCACTAGAACAGCACTAAAGATGGACACTTTCATTATACTTACAGTAAGAGTTTGAGGAGATAAAAAAAAAAATTCAATTCCCATTATTGATTGGAATATGTTGTAACGCTCCATGTCTCTTCAAAAGCTTTTAACACCTGTTTTTAGTTTTTGTTATATCAATCTTTTCTTCTAACACCAGATAGCAAATGTATCCATTCCCCAAATGTCAAACTATTCGGTAGATTACAATGAGTAGTGACAAAACATACTCATAATTAATGGTTTCACCAGAGGAACAGACAGTCCTTGAGGAAATATCCACACTTATTCCTTGTTTAATATGTGATTACGCCAAGAAATCTGATGTAGGGTAAAAAAAAAAGCAAGCAGACACTCACTGGTCAACACAATGTAACTTTCACGATCAACGTCAAGTCAGTGGTTATGACCCCGTCTGTATTACAGGTACAAAAACACTTTCATCTTTCAACACCACCGCCCATTAATATCATAATAACAGCTCAAATTGGCTGAAATGGACTAAAACTGAACATGGATCCAAAGGGGACGGGTCGTCTGCCTTCCTTTAATCTTCCTGTATTCAAACGTATAAGAGTACATTATACCCCACTGCCTACATGCGTTACCGTGACATTTATTTTAGTATTACAGCTCAGCGCTCAGTGTAGAGTTTTAATATTCTGCGACGGGACGGAGAGAGAACGCCATTATTTAATCATGCACCGCATCAGTCCTAGCATATTGACTCTGAAAGCTTTTAATGCAGCCGACTGATTAAACATCATATAGACACTCGCACGGCTCGTATTTACAAACGCCTTCAAGAAACCTAGCCCAACATACTAATTTGACTAAATATTATTTGGCTGCTTGAGGAGAACCTTGCATACAGATCATCTTAAGACTTGCTTTGTATAGGTAGTGGTTATAACAAAAAACATTACATTAATTCAGTTTAGTAGGAATGCTTAAGACCACCATATGTGTAAGAGTGCAGGAAGAACAAAGACGCTTAATCTAATCGCTCATGCCAATGGTGTCCACTGTTCAGGGCACACATGCTCACAGTTTTAATCACATGGAATTGAACAGTCATTGATTAAAGATTAAAGGAATTGACATTAATTAAACCATTTTTAAGTCCTTCGTTGTCTTAAAAGTCTAAGATCCTTCAAATGTCTTAATAAGTGCATTCTGTAGCCGTCAAGCATTACTAAACTGATATTAACTTTGGAAGTGCAATAACTTTTTTTGTACACGAACAAACAAAATAAACACAAAAATAGTTGCATAAGAGCATAACGTACAAGTTAACGTGTAAACAAAGCAAAGGAATGAACTTTCCAAACGACGTAAACCTAAGAATGAATGTAAACCTAAAACAAAGTAATTCACCACCTTCTGTTAGATGGCCAGAGATATTAGAAGACATTGAAACACAATCGATATCTGTTGTTCCCTTTTTAGTACCACACATAGGTGTAAATACAAATCCAAAGACCCGTGCTACAAAAGAAAAGCAGATCTGATAGAGAACCCATCAGATCTGCTTTTTGTTCCTTCCAGGTCTTCTATGACAGAGGGTGAGTGGAAGTGACCTACACTCTCTATTATGGGTGTTGGAGTACCAGAGTTAGGGTTAGCTGGTCATGGCGTCACCTTCAAGGAGAAACTTCTCTCCGAGGCAAAGGATGGACCGTGGTGGTTTTTTGGTCCTGAGGGGGACTAGGCTTCAGACTCCAGGTCTTCCTCCGCTCCGTTGGTCGTGTCGCCCGTCTCCGGCTCCAGCAGCAGGAACTTCCCGTCGTTGGTGAGAGGCATGTTCTTCAACAGCTGGGCCAGGGCGTCTGGGTCCTGAGAAAACAAACGTAACAGAATGCTTATTGCACCTGAGCGTGATTTTTGTTTTGTTTTTCAAATCCGCAAGTCGTGACAATACATTTTTTTATGAACTATGGGAGGTAGAAGTTGTTTTCTTATTTCTCTTCATAAATACCTCCTGATCAGCCACTGAAAAACCACTCTAATTTAGTGTTGTGAAACTATAAAACCTAAATAAATAATATAATAAATATGTGTTGATAGACATTTTGTACACAAATATGCAATAAAATGAGCTTCACAGGAGATAAGATAAGACAAATAAAAAGGCAGATGTAACTAGAGAACATTAAAAAGAAGAAAGGCCTCCAGAGATGTAAAACAGAACCAAATAAAATGATCATACACACACATTTAAAGAGATGAGCAATACGTTTTCATTTTCTAACGCTTACTGCAGGGAGACTGTTCCAGAGTTACGGGTTGTTTAAAATATGACTTCCAACTTTAAACAGGCATCAATGAGGTAATAGAACATGTCATTTCTCTCTTATGGAGAAATCAGCTGATTGTGTTATTGATGATACCTTCTTAGCTTCTGCAATGTCCTTCGCCAAACTTATGGTGTAACATATCTGTGAATAAAGACAAAAACATCAACTTTAATACACATATATGCATCATTTCACCCTTCTTAAAACAGGGTAAAGCTTTATCAGTATCTACCTTCTCGCCCTCTGTGTTGCTCTCGAAGACGAAGGTGCTAAACGAAGGCTCCCCCTCCTCGTCTCCATCACTCCAGTCTCTGCCCTCCACCACGAAGCCCATCAGCCGGCCGTTCTCCTGGTGCGCCGCAAACTGAGTCACTTCCCCCAGCTGGAACTGAGAGAAGAGACAGGAGGGGAATACAGATTTAGAAACACGTGGTAGGAGTGGATTACAGGAGACATGGCTAGGGTTGCAAAGGATACAAAAATGGCCAAAGGAAGTTCATTTTGTAAAATTTTGTACAGCTTCAGAATGAAATGTGTACCTGACTGCTTAAACAGTGAACCTCTCGGTGGGAAAATAAGTATCAAAAAGCAATGCCAGGTCTAATGGGTTATTTTGACTTTACAAGTATGTCAATTTATTAAAATTGTGCCCATTCACTGCACGCGCTGGCACACTCTTCCATCACATGTACAGACGTGTTTACAAGCCTACACTCTTCCCTGTGAGGGATTAATAAAGTACGTCTTCCTCTTCTTCTTGTTATTTTTTCTTCTAAATAAGACTTCAGTAGAATGACCACCCTCCTATTCACAGTGCATCCTCTCATCACATGTGCAGTCATCACAATACCCCCCCCCCCTGCAGCACTGAACCAAAGGATGACATGCTTTCAGGAAAGTTTGGACTATATTGCTTGAGTTAATAGATTATACATTGTTTTTGCATACATTACATGTCAGTACATTATCTGAAGATCTCAACAGCAATGAATGAAAACACACTCAATTATGTTATTATCTTTAACAAATGACATGTAATGTAATGTTATAGACGCTTTTATCCAAAGCGACTTACATACTCAATACTGTGGACAATCCCCACAGGAGCAATTTGGGGTGAAGTGTCTCAGGGACACAACGACATGCTGACTGCAGCGGGACTTGAACTTGCTATCCCCTGATTCAAAGTCCAGCACACTCTCCACTGAGCCACAGCCTACCATGCTTCTGTTAACCAGCATATAGTCACCTAAGCTAAATGTCTAACAAGTCAAAGTGTGGCAAATCATTGAAAATAAATCAAGAGTCATGGTATAGTACATGGTCTAAGTAGTATAGTAAAGTATACCTTAAAAAAGTAAATATATTGTAATAGTTCTATGCTTATAAATATGCATTATCTTAGTTTCCTAATTACCTTATTATTTCTTCATTTGAATACATATACTCCATATACCTATTGTATGACAATAATTCTCTAAATTAAACTGTCCACTCAAATTATAATTACTTACCCTGTCGAGTAATTTTTTGGTTAAAATCTTGGTATTAAATTATTTATTTGTGCTATTTCAAATTCCACTAGTTTCCATAAACTTCCATGCATTTGACTTTCGACTGTACTGTATAAAGAAAGAAATCACTGACTGCAGTTCAGGGGCATTAGTTAGACAAATGAATGAAATCTCCGTATGAGATTTGAAAAAACAACTCTTTATTTCACCGTGTTCTCGTTAATTACGAAATATTATCGGAACTTTAGCAACCTTTTTTTATTTTTTTTATTGAGTCAGGCACAATGAGTTTACATTTATACAGTCAATATTTTTATTTTTTCCCTTTCCCCCCCTCCCGGTCCTAGCTAGTAAATTAAATAACTAACTAAATTAAATAGATACATGTATAGGTAAAAGTAAAGTAATGTAGAAGATAATATTAAAAGAAAATGTATAGATAAGGGAATAAAGAATAGTAACAGTAATACTTGTACCCATATACTCACATATGTATACCCACATATACACATACACATACGTGTGTGTACATACCCACACACATGCACATACATACATACATGTATACAAAGACAGAACAAATAAATAAAAATTAATATAACAAAAACAAACATACAGATAAAAAGAGACACAAGGAAGAAAGTGTCTTCTCTTCTTCCTTGGAACTTTAGCAACCTTGACTAAATCTTCACGTCTGAACAAAAAAGAGAAAGGGCCCTTGATTAACACAGATTCAATAACTTTTCATACTCACACTGATTCTTGTAACCTGAGTCTGAGGGTCAATCAACCTATTGTGAAGACAAAGGAGACACTTGTGAATAATGAAGACAATGAAACAGCCTTGACCTTGTTTTGTTTCAGCTCGAAACAATGCTTACATGAGATGAAGCTTCTTATCAATGGGAAAATAAACCAAGGGTTATACAACAGCTTTATGACATGTAACTTGTTGCAGACATCTCTGTGTTTGTTTCGCATCCACTAAAGTTGTTTGTCGTAGATATTTGTGATTGTTTGTGCTGTAGAATGTTCTTGCTCCAAGGTCTTTGTTGTTCAGGCAGTGATTTACGGGACATCACAATTTGTGTACACAACCAGTTGTGTACAAGCAGGGCTTTTACAAAACTATTTCCTGTGCAGCACGACACAACTTTAAAACTGGAAATACGTTTCAGATGCTTTGTTTTCAAATTGATGTTGCTTTTTGTGTTGTGCAGTGTAGGAGGCTGTTCTATTTAATATAGCTGTGACCAAGTTCCAAACCAGAGTGTAACAGTTCCTAACCAAAACATGAACTATAACTTGTAGCAGAAAAGATTGTGAGGCTGTGTGGCAGATGGAAGATTAAAGAGTACTATTGGTTTTTCAACAGACCAAAAGATTGCTGAGAAAACACAAACAGCATTTTAAATACCATATCATTTTTATTTCTACCTTCAGTACAGGACTATCCATTTTATTTTCCACCTGCAGAAAAGGTTTTATTTTCTTTGGAAGTAAACTTCGGAAAAGTTTGTCCAAATCTCTGGTATTCATGTACAACTTGACAGATATGCAGTAAACGGTACCTGAGGCTGCTGCTGGTGACCATGAGATGTGACTCTGTGGTCCTGAAGATGTTGTGAATGGCTCGGGCGGCCAGAACCTGCCTCATGGCCTCGTAGATCACCTCCTGATTGTTCCCGCAGCGCACCGCCATCGAACCCTGGAAGCGCACGGCGAACACCTGCTGCAGGAGGGAGTCTGCGGAAAACATACAATCATCACAAACAGGTCAGCAGCATAAAACAATCGCGTCAACAACAGAAGCGTTGGTTCAGGTATGAAGGTAAGGGACATAAACAGGCACACAACGAGGTCAAGCCGGGCTCAAACTGTGCTTTGCAGAAGCATTTTGTTGCATTCAGATGAGGGAAATGGTTACCGTCGCTTTCTGTAGAACAGTCATCGTCCGTTTCTCCAAACGGATTTGTGCGTCTGCCAGGAAGGGAGCACACACACACGGAAAAAAAGCATTTAAACCTCTGCATCGAGCCATTACGAACAATTTTGCTTCCTGGAAATGAAATAATAACCACTATGAGGCAGACTTTCAGGAAATGATCCACCAGCAGCTCTAATCACTCCTGCTCTGCTCTCACTAACATGCACCCACAGACTCCCTCACCTCCCCCCCCCTCTGTTCTGGTCCAGGAACTCGGAGGCTGGCAGCATGATGTCAAACTGGATGGGGGTCCCGGGGGCGATCAGGTCTTCTGCTTCCGGAGCAGCCCCCGTCTTCTGGGAAGCACCGGTGGTATGGACCCCTCCTGGCTTCGCTCTGTAGGGAGAAACAGCGGATCAGTTATTTGGAAAAAACTGAATAAACAAAACACCGAAAACTCAACTTCAAAAGAACAGTTTCAGAAACCAATAATGCTTTCAGCGTTCAGATTCTTTAGGATTTATTTTAACAATTGGCACAACTTCGACATGTTGATAAATTCAAAGCCTAACGGCGGTGGTGGTGGCGAAGTCGATAGGGGGTTGGCTTGGCAACTGGAAGGTCACCAGTTCAAGTCCCGGCAAGACCAAATGCTACAGAGGTGTCCTTGAGCAAGGCACCGTTCCCTACACTGCTCCCCGGGCGCCGTTCAAAATGGCAGCACACTGCTCCTAACACTAGGATGGGTCAAATGCAGAGAAACCATTTACCCACGAGGGATTAATAAAAGTCCATTTTTTAGGCGGCAGTCCGTAGGGACTTGGTCATGGAACTGAATAGTTGCCGGTTCACGTCCCGATCTGACCAAAAAAAGATGGAGAGAGCTGGAGAGGTGCCAGTTCACCTCCAATGCCACTGCCGAGGTGCCCTTGAGCATTTATCTAGGTTTAAAATGAACAACTATCCAACCTCGAAACTGCTCCCTTGGCGCCGGGTACCTGGCAGCCTCTCCTATCTGCATGTGGTTGTGTGTGTGCATGTATATCCTCAACACAACAGAGTGGGGAAATAAATGTCCCTGTAAGGGATTATTAAAGTGTATCTTCTTCTAACCTGACAAGCCTAGTTACCGTTGCCAAGCTATAATTGCTCATTCGCAGCGTGGAGAACATTTAAGCGGTATGCAACTTAGCAGAAAGTGACAAGATGCATAATGTCGGTTCACCTCAGTTATCATAGGCGGACATTTTGTTCCTTTCCTACTGAGGGAAAATGTAATCACATTCTCAATCTCTTTTGACGCCGTGAACAATTTACATGTAAAGATATTGCGTTTTGCACTGACACAAATATAAACATTTGAGATACACACTGACATAAAGATCCAATAAGAAATGCAAAAAGCAAGTCGCATACAAATGAAAAACCCAGTTCAGCGCAGTTTAAAAGCCACCTTTAAATAACTAATTATAAACTCCAGAAGAGGATGCCGGTTGTAAAGTTAGACGAGCCTGACCTGTCGGGGTTGGCCTCGCCCTCCGGTCTCTTCTCAAAGCTGGTGATGGGGGTGACCGCCTGGATGGCACTCTTGTTCAGTCGAATGGCCACAGCCTAAAAAACAGATCTCTGTATCAGAAATTGGCTTATTTATCAAATCAGAGCAGTATTAAGTGCCTAAAAGGTTAAAACCATCACAAAATGTTAACCGTTCTCTTATCTCCCCCACACTCT